CAAGAGGATCTGAGCGACCTCCTGTGACCCTTTGTTATTGATGATTTCTGCTTCAGCCCATTTCGTATGGTAATCTACCATTGTCAAAAGGGTGTAATTCTGTCCTCGCCACACGAATGGTCCCCAAAAATCGATATACAAGCTTTCGAAGGGTTCGTGGATTGGATGCTTGTAAGTCCTATAGTTCCTGATTCTGATGCCTGGATGGGTCCTTAGGCAAAGCAGACATTGACGGACATATTCCTCGCAGTCTTTTTGCATCCCAGGCCAATTGTAAAGACGCTTCAGAATCTTCAACATCTTGATAGGCCGGGGGTGCCAAGACGGCGGAAGCAAATGTATGGAATCCATCAAAGCCCGTCTCATGGAGGGGGGTACCCAAAGTCCGTTAAGATAGTAGTAAATGCCGTCTGTCACTATCATCGCCTTAGGAAGGGGGTCAGGCACCTCTTCTCTTGGGTAATGATCATGTCCGTAGATGGTTCTTCTAACGTGGGAGAAAGCGGATGTTCGGGCTGAGAGTCCAAGGACGAATACTCCGACACAGGAATGACGATGCTACAAGAGGCGTCGTCCGCGGACTCAGACTCAGGCTGTTTAATCGGTGCTTCTTCTTTCAACACGAGAGCTTCCCCAAGTGATGCCAATCCTTCTAATTCTTCTTCCTCTAATCTTTGTCTCTTCGCTTTCCTCGTTTCCATCTTTATGACGTAACAGAACATGGTGTCCTTAATGAACGGATCGTCCTCGACATATCTGCTGAGAAAGTCTGCCATGATGTTCTTCTTCCCATTGAAGTAGATAATGTTGACATTGTACTCTGTCAACCTGCTGCACCACCGGGCTATCTTCCCTGTTTTCTTGCTTAACATCTATTGCAGATTTTGATGATCACACATGATGTCGATCTCACGTCCTCTGACGTACGGGTCGTACAACGCCGATGTACAGAAGTAATATCAATCCCGGCGGACGATTCGATGCTGAGAAGTTTGCCCGAGACAACAAGGACCTATCCCTCGCCGACTACCAAAGCAAACTGAACTCTACAATAAGGGCCGTAAGGACACACATCCGCAAGCCATTACCCCTAAGAGAGGTCATGAGAGGTCGGAAAGAGACCTTGAATGACATCTGCGCTCACTTTTTCGAGAATTCCGCAAGGGAGAAACTTCGACGAATTCAAGGGGAAGCTAAAATCCCCGAAGGACTCTTGGACATGCCTAGGATCAAGCCTACCGGTGGATTCGCGAATGGAAGGACGGCATTTGGCGTGACCATCTCAGGAGCAAGAACATTGAACTTGAGAAATGTGATGACTACGGGACACGTATGAAGAAAGGCGAGCATGACTGCTTCGTTAGAAAATCCAAGCAAGTTACCTTCAATGGAGGCATTCCTCTTCGCAAGGTGACGCAAGTGATAGCAAAAGGCGACAAAATCATCACTAGGACGAAAAAGCAAATTGATCTCGCTATGGCCACTCCAATCTCGAAAGCGACCCGCTGAATCTATGACAGAAGTCGATGAGGAAAACGCTTCCATGGAAAATGTCCCTGTCAATGCCATTCACGCTCGTCAGGATCCAGCTTCTTATATCACCCCTACTGATACGCACGATACCATATCAGTAGCCAATCGAGTAGTAACTCTCAAAGACTATCCGATTCAAGAGACACTCCCTTTTCTGAGGCCGTTCCAAACAAAGGACGAACGCGGTGGAGTCAGAGAGCAGGTCGGAAAAAACAATGAAGGCACCAACTACCTATGACGCCAATATAATCTTGCACGTGGAGAGAGAAGACGAGAACGCACCTTATAACAATCTAGGGAGAATAGAAGAAGCCATTCTCACCCAAGTCAGGCCTTATCTACAAAAATTGGACAATGAAGCCAAGTCTCAACGCACGGTATTGATGGCTGGCACCATGAATTCAGATCAATATTATCGAGCCTTACCACCACGCCTTTGACCACAGAACAGCAGGAGGAGTTGGAAAAGGCCTTCGAAGGCAACAATCCACGCCCCTGAAAGGGTTAATATGCTCTGCCCCTGCAGCTGCCGCTGCCAAATCCACTACCTTGAAAAACTTTTATGACCAATTTTGATCAATACTGAGGGTTGCGCGCACTCATGGTGTCCCAATTATCAGTTGCTTATGCTGCGCTCAACAGAAGATCAAGGATCGACTCATACAAGCACGAAAACTATGGACTATAGCTGACTATGGCAAAGCCAAAGGAGTGCACCATTATTTTGCACTCACCGATCATAAACCTATTTGCTTGCCGCCTCGGCACATCCCACTCCACTCCCAGGAGGCTGTGGACGGAGAGACTACGAAGATGCTCGATGACAGAGTGATTGAGACCTCCACCAGCCCATATTGCACGTATCCGGTACTGGCTCCAAAGAAGGACGGAGGGATAAGGTTTTGCTGTTGACTATCGAAGGCTCAATGCCGTAACAGTAAAGGACAAAACGCCTTTGCCAAGAATCCAGGACCTGATCGCTCAGCTGGAAGGGTCGAAACTCTGGGCGTTGCTTGATTTGCGCGGAGGATTTTGGCATATTCCACTCAACCCGGAGCAGAAGCACTTGACCGCATTCCGCACGCATACAGGACACTACCAATTTCAGGTAATGCCCTTTGGACTTGTAAATGCACCGGCGACCTTTCAGAGGTGGATCAACGATATTTTCGGGGACCTGAAGCACGAAGGAGTTCTGACTTATCTGGATGATATCCTTCTCCACGCAGAGGAGAGATTTGTTGAACTCTTCATGGAGCTTATCGATAGGCTCGAAGCATATGGGGCACACCTCAAGTTGTCAAAATGCAAGATTGGAAGGACGACTTTCGAATACCTAGGACATATCTACGACAAAGGATTACGGCGGCCTCAACTGAAGAAAGTCGAGCCATTGATGCACGTTAAGGATGCGGGGAACATCAGTGGCGTCAGAAGTATTTTGGGGACCTTGACATTCTACCATCACTACATTCCGCATTTCGCTGAACTCTCCTTTTCGTTCCACCTATTTGATTCTTTCTTTGTTTTCTCAACAAATTTGTTCGTCTTAGTGGTGTTGCGTTTGATGTGACGTAATAGTGTGTGTCGGTTAGCATTTCTGACAATTTGTCAAGGGAGAAGAATTCGATTGCGAATCACGCATGTAACAAATTCTCATACGAGAAGGGCAAGATCAAGATGAAGAAGGGGTAGACAAGACTTCTCGCTTCTATCCTACAAGATGAGCAGACGAGGACGAAGAAGACGAGGACGAAGAAGAGGACGAAGAAGACGAGAACGAAGAAGACGAGGACGAAGAAGGGTTCAAAGGAGTCAATGGTTCTTGCTTTAGACTTAGAAGCCTCTCGTTCAGCCTGCAGGGGTGGAACAAATGAACGTCTTGCTCGCGATGGAAGGAATGTCTAGAAAAGAACTTGAGAGGCGTCGGCCAAACTTCCACGCCGTTGTCCTCGAGAAATTTCTGGTACAGCTTGAACTCCAATTTCTCCAATTCCTCTAGCGCGCCTTCCGGTAGCACGGCTTCTTTTTCGAGATGCTTCCCATAGTCTCCCAAAATCCTTCGATAATGCTGGTGACCGAGTTCCTTTATTTTTTCTTTCAGGTAAGCGATCCACCCGCGCTTCTTTCTTCTCGTCACTTCATGCACTGAAAACGCTAGACACTTCCACAAAGCCAATTCATCGTCAAGCGGAGTGAAGATATAACTACGTCGCTGGAAATAGCGGCACGCAATGTTGAACGCTTCGTTATTTCTGTACGTGAAGTTGACAAACTTATACTGTATGGGTATGTCGTCGTTCTTAGAATCCTTTAATACCGCACTAAGGATTGATGATGGAGTCCCATCATCAAGAAGTTGCCTAAGTAAACTACATCTTTTAGTTATCGATCGGCATGAATTGTCGAAATCAATAATTTGGATTTCCCCATTAACGTTGAGAAAGTTACATAATCTGATGTCAGTGTGCAGGAATCCCATTTCATGCACTGGGAAGCAAGCGGATCATTAGCCCAAGAAAGACAAATACAAGAGTATATTACCTGATCGAAGTTGATAGAAACAATTCCGAACAGCTTTCTTCATTCCATCCATATCAATTTTATGCCATTCAACAATCTCGCCCCATGGCAAAAGGAAACCAGCAATCTTGTTACCCCCAACGGTTTCACCGTTCTCGACTCTCAATTCAACATTAGTGCCCAGTAGTGTGAGGGACCCGGAAGGAGAAATCCGACGCTAAAGAAAGACAACGATATCGAAGATCGGTACTTAATCTCGTTCGAATCTTACGTTTTGATCGACGTTTTGATCGACGTTTTGATCGACGTTTTGATCGACGTTTTGATCGACGTTTTGATCGACGCTTTGATCGACGTTTTGACCGACGTTTTGACCGACGTTTTGATCGACGTTTTGCTGTGATTCAGCAGCACAGTAAAATTCAACTTCACTGTTTGGGCCCTTTGAAGCATCACAAACTGCCTTCCAGAAAGCTTGTCCTTTATGCCCTTCTTTATCCAGATAACAAACCCTTCCAGCAACTCGTATGATACTGAAAGAATCTCCATTAAAATAGGTCTGGTATCGGCTAATGTCAATTGGGAACCAAGCATCTTTCCAATTACGGGGCAACTCCTCCCATCCCGTTAACTCAAACTTCGAGGTCACAAAGTCAACAATTTTATGGATAGCAGGAAGGTCTTCATCTTTTCCGTCTTCATATGCTTTTCGAAACCAATAATGCTTCCTTGTATTGAATGTGATACCAACAATCAAGTTGTTGCCGTCTGTAAGAAAGCTGACCATATGCTTGCGGTAAAATTGATATGTCATGAAGCGCTCATTTCTGATAAGAATCTGCTGGTACCTCTTTGGAAGATCCCCCTTAAATGATGTAACGTCCGCCTTCAGCTCAATTATACCAAAGACATGCAAGATACGACAGTGGACTTCAGTCTCTTCTTCATTTTCTAAGAACGTCCCCTTTCGACAGCACGAGATCTGGTCGCCCGACAAGAGAGTCAGTTTCCTTGCTCACACGATCTGCTGCACTGAAACTCGAGTCTTTGAAAAGATTTCTATCTTGTTTCTGTCTCTTGGATGGATTCCTCAGTGTCATGGAGTGAGCCTGAACTGGGGTGGCGCCCAACAGCTCATCCACGTTGCCCTGCAACTCACTCTCTGATATTTTTTTTCTTTTTTTAATGTATGTTCTTTTGGCGGAGTCTTCATCGAAAAATGTCATGATTTCGAAGAGGAAGGAGGAATCGTCGTTAGAGGAATCGTCATTGGAGGAATCGTCGTCGGAAGAATCGTTGTCGGAAGAATCGTTGTCGGAGGGCTTGTTGTCGGAGGGCTTGTTGTCGGAGGGCTCGTTGTCGGATGGCTCGTTGTCGGAGGGCTCGTTGTCGGAGGGTTTCTCGTTGTCGGAGGGTTTCTCGTCGGGGATCAAGGTTATCTTTGTTACAGAATTCCAGCAGCAAGAAAAATGACCACCACTAGAAGCAGCGAGGCTTCTCTTCTTTCCTTCTGGCCTCACTGAAAATTGCAACCTCTTCTTTCCTTTTGACACTGAAAATTGCAACCTTTTCTTTCCTTCTGACAATTGCTTATTTTCCTTCTGACATCACTGAAAATTGCAACGGAGGAGTGAGCAGGTACGTAAAAGGATAACCAGAATCTGTCTCACAATGAGCCGGTGCAAAGGACCTCTGGATGGAAGTTAAAACAAAGTGTGTGCTCGAGTTAAAAGGGGGACAGTAAAAACAGCAATTAAAAATTAAGTCAATTCATGTTTTCTTTTCAATAAATGACCTTCATCAATGATGTGATGGAAGATGTTGAGATGGTCGTTGGTTGCTTGAAGCAGATGAACTAAATGTCGCGTGAACGAAGGTTGAGGAAGAGCCTTCGTGAGGATATCGTCTTGAGTAGGAACTTTGTGTAGGACGATTCGTCCGAATTTGATTTGTTGGCGAATGAAAGCTGCAACGATGAGGGACGTGTTTCATTGTGCTGTATCCTGTTGGCTTCTCTGAATTTTGAATCACTGGTTTTGAGTCGAGATGAGCGACTTGATGAGTTGAATGTTGTTCTAGCTCTTGAAGTAAATCCAAATGAGATGTGTGATGGCATCTTCAACGGCAAACGATTCTGAATTTGCGGAAGAGCAAGGAAGATACTTGGATGATCTCCAGTTAACAAGATGTTCTCCATGGGAAAATGACAAAATCGACTTGTAGTCAATTGCGTTTCCAAGTGACGCATCAGCGAAAGAGATAAGCGGTGCTTGTTTGAGCTTGTTGAGACTCTTGGAGGCAAAGAAATTGAGTTGAAGGTTTTTGGTGGATTTGAGATACCGTAGAATTTGCTGACCAATGTTCTGTCTTTGGGTCTTGTTGAAATTGTTAGATAATGAACAGAGAAGGCGATGTCGGGCCGAGTACCTGATACCAGGAAGTTGAGAGCTCCGATGATTCCTCGGAAAGGTTGTGTTGTTGGAGATGAGCTTGAATCTGAGAAAGTTGTGTTTGGTGTCATTGGAATGACTGCTGTATTGGAATCTTCCAGCTGATATTTCTTCAGTAGCTTTTCAATGTAGTGCTCTTGTGAAATGGAGGCAATTCCTAGTTCAGGCTTGTATGTAACTCGCAAACCAAGAAAATGACGGAGGAATTTGGCTCATTTTGAAGAAATTGCTGAGAAAGTCCAGAATTGCGATTGATTTGGTGTGATGAAGAAGTGGAGGATGTCGTCGATAAACGTGAGCAATGCTTCTTCGAATTCGTTCTCGCGGTACCGTATCCAAAGGGCAGGATCAAAATTGATTGTTGAAAATGCGATTCCTTGAGAGTGGAGAGATTGGTGAAGTCCATAGATGGCTTTATTGATTTTCCAAACAAAATGAGGTCTTGTAGGATCTTGGAAACCTGGTGGTGGTTGGCAGTAGACGTTTTCTTTCAGAGGTGATTCAAGAATGCGGTGTGAATGTCATAATGCGCGATGTTTAGGGAATGTTGTAGAGAAAATGAAAGGAGAAGGCGAAAGGTTGAATATCTTGCTCCAATAGCGAAAGATTCAAAATAATCGATTCCTTCAATTTGCTTGAGCTACGAGTCGCGATTTGTTCCTTATTGTGATTCCGTATTCATCCGTTTTATTCTCAAAAGTGAGAGCTTAAGTTCTAAAACCGGAAGAGTACACGCTTACACATATTGCTGCATAAGCATATGTTGTGCAAGTTAAGCGATTCGTCGTAACAATTACACGTTACAATCACGAAGTGAATATAGAATGAAGTCATACTTCATTCTATATTCACTTAAATCCGATAGAATAGAGTCATTCCTAGCTCCGTCGAGGTTTCTATTGAAACATCTCCAACTTAAAGAGGTTTGTGCTAGCTCTAAATGATTCAAGTACAGATTAACCAGTGTCTTGAGATGTTGTACATGTGTTATTCCTTCGTGGTTTCTAATGAAGCTATGATGCAAACCATCTTCGTGCTAATTTAGTAGCTATAAGAAACACGCCCATATGCAACATCTTATTCCATAATCGCGGACTTTGGTGCAAACCATAGATGGCTTTTTGGAGTTTCCAGACATGTGTGGGAAATTGTGAAGCAACAAAACCGGGGTGCTTGCGTGGTCCTCATTTTCATCGAGATCTGCATTGAGAAACGCGGTTTGGATGTCGAAATGAAAGAAGAGGTTCCGCAGCTGACAACTGATTGCAAGAAACAGTCGTAGTGTGGTGGTGTAGCGGACAACTGACGCAAATGTCTGGTCGTAATCCAGACCGGCAATTTGGGTGAAGCCTTGTGCGCAAAGACGTGACTTATTTCGGACAACGTCGCCTTGTTGATTCAGCTTTGAAGACCCAAATCAGTTTGATGGGTTTGCCGTTTTTAACTGGAGGAACAAGGGAGAATACATTGGATTCCATCGACTGAAATTCGTCTGAGGACCCTTTAATGCTTCAGCAATGTTGGCTGGTTCGAAATTCGAGATGGCATCTTTAGCGTTCAGCATTTGCAGGCAATCTTTCCGTTTCAGATTACGAAGGGAGCTACGAAGTTGTATAGATGGCTTGTCTGGCGCAATGGTGTTCATTTTTGGGGGGATGAGAGCAGTTGGTTGTGGCTGTGCACTTTGTTGTGCACTTGGACGAGGCTGTGCACTTTGTTGTGCAGTTGGAATGAGTGGGTGCAGTTGTTGCATATGGGCATGTTTCTTATTCAGAAGTCACTAAATTAGCACGATGATGGTTCGCATCATCGAGCTTCATTAGAAACTACGAAGGAATAACACACGTACAAACATCTCAAGACACTGGTTAATCTGTACTTGAATAGAGCTGTTACAAACCTCTTTAAGCTGAAGATGTTTCGATAGAAACCTCGACAGAACTGAGAAAGACTTAGATCTATCGGAATAGAGTGAGCATAGAATGAAGGGATTGCTTCATTCTACAAGCACTTCGTGATTGCAACATTTAATTGTTGCGACGAATCGCTTAGCTTGCACAATATGTATGTGTAAGCATGCACTTTTCCGGTTCTGGTCCGTTAAAGGCAGGCTTCGCTGCCTTGGTTCAGCTTGGGGAACGGCGGGTGTCACTGTTCATTGTATGAGGTTCACGAAGGGTTTGTTAACAGGACAAGAAAACAGACAGACAGATTTTGGGGACGACCCATGGAACAGATTGGGTGAGGAAACAGATCAAACGACGACAAAACACAGTTAAGCAGGCTAACAAGTCGCACAGCGGAGTCGACCTACGCGACTAGACACCTTTAGCAGGCGCGGAGAACGGTTCCTACTGTCAATTTATTGTTCCAGGTTCTAGCACTTAAGCTCTCACTTTTTAAGTTCTATAAACCGTTTGGTGTAAAGAGTCGGGATCAAGTCCCGAGTGTTAAAAGAAAAGCACAGTCTGTAAAAACGAGACATATATTCATAGAAAATTAAGAATAATAATATTGAAGAAGGTAATAACTACTGTTGAACATAACAAGAAGATAATAAAATAAATAAATATTATCTTCTTTCTCCCACAATCAATAGAGTCATCATCAATCGATGACTCTGACCTTGAGATAACTGATAGTGATCTGTAAACTCATTACATCCCCTGAAACTTGTAAGGGACGTAAATAACAGAGACAATCCTCTTAAAGAAGATCAGAAGTAGTTGTCTTGAAAGTGCTTTCAAGACATAGGGTTATCTCTTGACATGTGGAAGTCGAACCGTAGTCATTCCCTTCTCACACTAAGGGTGAAGCATACCAACGAGCTAGAAGTTATTCCTTCGTTGATATCTCTGATCTCATCAAGGATGCGGGGCGATCATTACACGTTACCATTAAGCTTTGAGATCTATGCTTTCTTCAAGTAGAAGAGATCTCTTTTGAAGCTTCGTGAAAGAGACTCGCATCTCTAGAATTGTTAATGTTGTGACGCTCATGCCTTCTCCCTTTGTTGAGATTGTCATCCATTGATGACACTAATTCCTCAGGAAAAGGGGCGGTTACCCTTCTGACCCTGTGTTCCCTGAAATCGTTAGGAAACACGATTAAACGGAATGGTCTTCTTCATAAGATTGAAGAGTCTTTCATCTGAAAGCAATATTCTTTCAGATGACTACTTATCTTTCAACAAAGGCATGACTGAAGACATGCTATGGTCATTTCTTAAGGGCTATTGGGGATAGCTTCTCGATAATAGAGGTTTGGATATCCACGCCCAATACCTTGAGACTTTTCAGCGAACACTGAAAGTATTGTGATCTCTTCACTTTCGTGAAGGATTCTTTCACTCATTCCTTTTGAAAGAAAACGTTCAGACTCCCACAAAAAAAGGTAGTTATCAACCGAGTGAAGAAGTTCATTCTGAAGTCAAAAAAAAATTGATCGCAAATCGTATTTCATCGAAGGAAAAGCCAAGTATTTCCTGATGTCCCGAATTCTATGTACCAACTACTATTAGATAACAGCACCTGCAGACGACAGTCCCAAAGCCAGCAAGCGGAAAAATTTCCAGTGTTTGGAGATTCTGTAGTGGTCCCAACCGCGCGGTGCAACCGCTTGGCGCGAGCGACATACAATCAACCCGTCAGAGTGCGTCTCGTCGAAAACATCCTGTCCAACGTCATCAAAGTGATCCAGCGCACATTCCAGCAAAGCCCGTCGTGCAATGCTAGAAGCATCTGATGGACAGATGAACTTCAGCGCATGAAAGCAGTCCCAATCATCCTTGAACTTTTCGATAGAGGTCTTGGCATCATGCAGACAAGTGTGAAGAAGAATGACGACATTAACGAGACAATCAAATGAATTTCCATACGCTGTGAGCCAACTATTGATTACGGATAGGGCTTCCGGAGAAAAGGTTCTGCGAAGAAGTTCACTGCGATAATCAGGAGAACCGTCGTGGTAAGGCAGCCCCAAGAGCTGGCCGTAGAAACAATTGCGTTCAGATTTATACTGTTCTTGTCGGATTCGTCGACTCCCATTTATCCAACAACGCCATTACATTGGCACCCCCAAAGCGTCTGAGACAACTCAATACTGAACAAAACAGTGCAAGTCGCACATACTTGAAGTCATCGCGTATAAATCCACCAACGCTAAATGTCTCTCCGGAGGCAATGCTTCTTTCTAATGCGCCGTACCGTTCGTATGATCGATACTTGGCTAAAAACGCTTCCAAAATCTCACGAAGTCCTTCAGAACAGATAGTTTCTTGAACCTGTTGAACACACTCTGTCAGATGCATGGGTTCCAAATGTGAAATGCCTCATGTCTTATGTTGGAATGC